ATAAGCCAGATCGAATTCGAAGATTAAGGAACAATGCAATCTGCAACATTAACTGAATTAGATAATTTTAGCTTAGCTTATACCGTCCATTATACATTAAACGCGCATTCGTAAACATATTTTGTGTACCCGCACACGCGTATTCGCAGCCGTCAACGCGGCTGCGAATGTGCGCGTACGCAAAATTTCTGCGCATGCGTCGCTTTGAGGTCTGGATTATAGATCATTCTAGATTATGGGTGTCCGAATTAACGACTTTTGACTCTATTAATGCACATTAAAAACAAGTATATTAAATACGCAACTCCAAAAATTGAAGTCATAGTATCAAAATGCTGATTTTATAAGATTTTTTTTTTTTTTTGTATAATTAGGCTTAACTGCTGAAAATGCACGGAGTGGTGGCGACGATCCATTTCAGAAGCCGTGCTGCGTCCCGTGACTGCGCTTCGTTCTCCCGGCGCTGGTCCTTAAGGGGTTAACATGATATTCTGAGCAAATCCTGACCTTACAGTGTGCTTTCCGAGTGAGAAATCCACTACACAACATTTATTTTATCCAATGCTTCAGATATTGTTCATCCCTCCTGCATTGTCTAAATGGGCTGAAATACTAATTACTTGCATATCCCAACTTCTTCCTTTCATGTGATTTTGACGTTCATCAGATTATTCCTTCCTTGTGTTGCAATTTTAATGTCCAGCCGTGTACATTGAATAAAACCATATATGAACCGTCTTCCAAATGAATAATTTAGATTTTAAGATCTTTCAAGAGTGGAGCAACTTGTAGAATTGTTGAATTCATGGCACATGCTTTGCATCGTAAAATTTGCAAAGCTCCGCTTATGTTTTTCCTCGTGTATAGTATTTTTATTCAACAAATTTCCCTTACTCGAGTACTTTGCCATAGTCAAATAAACCAACCAAACCATCAGTGTAAAGGATGGGTTTAGGACATGGAGAATAAGTATCAATGCATTCAAATCGTAGCTTATAATCATAGGAGGGAGGGAAACCTGTTCTGTGGCTAATAACCCTTTATTTCTATTTGGGGATCTAGTGCATGCTGTCTGTAATGGGGATCTAGTGCATGCTCTCTGTAAAAGGCATCAGCAACCTATGGCACTTGGAACAATTCTCAGCGGCTCTTTGCACCACTTTGCAAAGTTATCAGGCAAAGATAAATTGCCCTGTCTGTGCCGTGAGGAAAGTTTAGTTGTCAAAATTTCGCTGCAATTAATTAATATCTGCAATGAACACTGTTGTTAAAATAGATAATTTCATAATATCTCGCTTTCTATGGGCACACAGACAATTTAAATCTCTTTTAGAAGAAATGGAAAGCGAATATGTGGATCTCTCCTTCTACAGCCATGTCCATTGACTTAGTGGAGGTAAGGTCTTGAATAAGTTTGTGTCATGCATAGAATACATTAAAGAAATTAGAAGAATCAATTCAAAGAATCAATCAATTTCATTGAATTCAAAGATAAAGAATGGCTATGTAAATTGATGTTCCTGACTGATATAAATAAACCTCGTAATGAACTAAGGATTGCATGGAAAGAACGTAATAATACCTGAACCTTTTGAATATTAGAAAGGCTTTGCTACAAAGTTGAAGGTATTTTCCCATGATATTAATACTAGTACCTATTGCAGATACATCGAGCTTAGACAGAGATGAACTTCAAACCTACATTGAAGCACTTAAAAAGGAAATTTTTAAAAGATGCAAAGACTTTGAAGCTTGTATGCCTATATTTTCCTTCCTAATCAACCAGGTTTAATAGATGCATTAATAATCCCATCTGATTTTTCAATTTTTGAGTGGATGGAAGGGGATAATTTTGAAATGGAAGTTATTGAACTAGCATCCTCAAAATTATGGAATTGCAAAAAAATCTGGAAGATAACTCTAACGATAAATGAACACCTATTTTAAATGTCTGGATGCCAGTGCCAGAAAGATTTGTTTTAAGAAAATAGCATATGCTCAGCTTTCCACTTTTAATTTCACATATCTATGTGAACAAATCTTTTCTCATATGAAAAGTATTTTAAGTCCACAAAAAAGTTGTTTAACAACTGAATATTCAAGATCATATGTCAAATTGAAAGTCACAATTAAACCTCTGATACTGTGGTATTCAGAGTGGGCAAAATTTGCATGTCGTTTTCTTTTTTTTTTAAATTTTAATAAATATGTTTGAAAGATATATATGTAAAATTTAAATTGTAGAAGGAATATTTATATTTTATGTTGTTTATTTTTTGTTAATTAATATCTTTAAATAATGAGTAATTAATATATAATAAAACTCTAAATATATGTTCTTGTCCTCTGTTGGCTAACTCTGCATGCATTGTCACGAGAATCAAATTTTTTTCAAATATTTCCTGCATCCTGAATCATATTGGTACATTGGTTTACTTTGCCACAGCTACAAGGCTTTACCTGCACTATAAGTTCATTTGTTTCGGTTTGTTCCATTAGGCAAAGCACATGAGGGATATCTGCCTAAGTGGAGGAATGCCATCATGGAAGATTTTCTAGGAAACTGCTTGTATACATGTTATATCACAAAATTTACACAGCTGAACCACAAAATCACCGATGCAGTCAGCCTGTTTATTGAGATTTTAACCTAGGTAAAGTAGTTTTCAATGACTTTACTACTCGATTGCAGGTGAGCCTTAACTAAATAGGGGTCACTATTAATCATTGACTTATGTGGCCATATTACTAATGTCATTTGAAAAGCTCCTGGTTTCATCAAGCATCTGCTGCCATTGCTCAGAGCAAACTCTGACTTATACATAAAAAGTATAGAATATACTTCTCGATCAGTAGACTTATTTTATGTTAGGACTGTTTGACCTGGATCGGAGCCATGAACTCCTAACTTTAATAGACTGCAGGTTATTCAAAATAAAGCACTAATAATTATTGCAGGTACCTACTTTCTTGTCAAGAATAAATTCTTGCACTGAGATTTCAAAAGTGAACCAGTCATTGATTATACTCATCATTATAATGAAAGGTTTTTCAATAAAGCTTTGGATTATCCATGGAATAAATTCTGTGATGTTCTCAACTACCAAATTTTACCAAAAGACATATTTAGGCTATTTGCATCTCGTCGTCTTCATGACACAGCTTTGTCACCTAAGCTGGTGCCTATTTATATCATTTCATTAGTGCACTCTATTTTCGCATTATCCTTATTTCAAATTTAAAATATATAATTAAAATATATGTGTTGCTTCTGTAGATGGAACTTTTATTTTGCATGTGCCATTTATTTTCAAATTACATTATTTTTATCTTTAACTTGCATCTTGTGTGTTATAAGTAGTATTTTTCATTCTCAGCATTATGGAGCATGATCTCTTCAAGCCATTCTAAACAAATACTTTACATTTGATATTTCTTACTTCCTACTGGATCTGTGAAGTCATGTGGAAATGGCCATTCTTCCCTGCCATGCCCTTATTCAAATTTCTCCAAGTACATCATCGATATTTCAGACAGTTTTTTCACTGTGATGCCTCTTCTTGGTTGTCACTTTCGCAAGCTTATAACAACTATTGTTAAGCACCAAGTAAGCAGTTTCATTAATGTATGATGTATAAGTTCTTCCACCATATGTGGAAAGTAGTGCAAGGGGGTGCTTCAAATTCTAGTTTCAAGGACTAGGAGTGACTCGATAAAATTTTCACACATTGAATGTGAAACTTGTCATTGAACTGGCATTTGAGAATTGTGAGAAATGGTGTGCAATTGGGGAAACAGAAGCAGAATAGATATGCTGGTCTGTAAAGAACTAAAACTAGCCAAAAGCATCATTTAAAGAATCCACAAACCATTTAAAGATCGTGACGATGTATGCAGACAACCAGGTCAAAGGCGAAAATGTGCCACAGAAGACCCTGAGGACTATTATTTGGCAAAGACTGCTAAAAGAAATATACAACTGATGCCAGGTGGAATTGTAAGGAAGTTTGCAGCAACTACAGAAAATTGAATATACCATGACTGACAAACTGCATAAATAAGAGCTATATGCATACTTTCCAGCAGCTACAAGAAATTGAATATACTACCTTAACTGGCAGTCTGCTTAAATAAGAGCTATATGCAAGGAAACCCATGTTTTGTCTCTCACTAACTCAGGCTGTGAAATGCAGCTGTTGGAGTGGTACTGAGATTATCGTGATTGAAGTTCCACAGAATAGAGTCATGTTCTTTTTGATAAATTTAGTTTTAATTTAGGGAGTGATTCCAGACATATTACAGTCTGAAGGAAGTAAAATGTGATAAACATGAAAACACCTGTGAAAGGCTTTGAAGCAAAGACTAGAATTATGGTATAGGCAGGCATTGCTTTGAATGGCTGATCTGACCTATGTATTTTTACCAGTGCAACTTAGAATGCTGAAATATGTAAAGATGAGGTTCTCGATCCTTATGTCAAGTTGGTTTAGGGCTAAAATTGGTAATAATAGTCAAAAGCCAAAAATTTGCATAAATCAGTTGTTGCATAGCAGTTGCCCACCTGTGTATTAAATGTAATGTCCTTGTTTCTCTTTGTTCTGTAATTTTTATATTAATGGTTTATTCTTTAACTTTCGAATATTACATATTTTTAACCGTTTAAAAAGTTCTTCCTTTGATATTACAATAATTTATTAAATGCTAATCTTCCATATGCAATAAATGTTCTGAATGGGGAGAAAATATAAAAAGTGTTGTGTAATTTCTTTAAGCTTTGTTGTAGAATTATAATTAGCTTATTCTCTGGAATGCTTTTAGGAATACTGCATACGAAAAAGTCTTGATTAATAAAAGTAAATCAACTGCATCTTCTTTTTTACTTGCATGACTCTTGGGTTTAAAACTGTTTTATTTAATGTATTTATTTTTCAGTTATCATGAGTAAAGATCATAAATGAGGATCTTGCAAATTTTCTAATTGCATTAAATTTTGCTTACAGAATGTTTCTCCAGACAAACAAGAATCATCAGCAGTTGGAGAAATGGAAAATATTTTAGTATGTGAAAGTTTAAAAAAAGTTTAGGTTAATTTTTGTTCATAGAGTTGTTTAATTTTACAAACATGTTTTAGTTCTGGCTGTACTAACAATGCATTTTTTTCTTCTCCTTTGTTAATATTGATTTAATATGCTTTGGTATGTTAAAGGAATTCAAATGTTTTGTTCTTTGATGTTAAGTTAGTAATGTATTTGGAAGATCTATAGCTTTCTTATGTTTTCTTTCTTTACCTCTCCCAAATAGTTAGAAGTTATATAGACATGATGCAAATTCATAATGCATAGTGTGTCCACAAAAATCCTTAGACAGCCTTTATTTTTGCAACCTTTGGCTGTAGACGTATACTTTGTAATGAAAATGTTTTGAATGATCCAAATATTCATGTTTCAGCATTTAATTTAAAATAAATTTCGTCAAAATAATGAAAACTAACTTTTTATATAGTTTTCCAATCCTCTATAGTTATGTTTAGTAAAATTTGTAGTCAATATAAAAAATAAAATTTTAAATGCATGCAAATCCTATAACAAAAATGACCAATGTATTCAATTTTAAAGTTTAATATTATAGTGTAGCTTCATTCACATATTAAACAGCAAAATCTTTGAAACTGTACATAACTAGATCTAAAATATAATTTTAGAAAAAAGGTGTCACGTTAATAAATTAAGTGCTGAGCATTGCTATGCTGATTGTTGTGAAAAGCATAAGCAATTTAAATTTTTTTTCATAAATAAGATGCCATTCTCACAGAATCTCAGCGTATTTATGTTCTAGAAAACACTGGGAAACTTATTTGCACACAGCCAACTCATTATTTGCAAGAATCAAAAGTGAAAATTTGGATAGCTTGAAATTAAAGAAATTTGTTGCTTTTAGAACGACACTTAAAGATACAAACAATATGCATATTTACTTTCATGCTTTATGAAAATATTGAGCTAGCCAAGTTAAAAACAAGAAACTGCATGCTGTTTAGTTTAGGAATGGTACATTAGTTTTATTTGAAAGAGAATTGGGTGCTGAAGTATTATTTCTAAAAGTGGAGCAATATTTCACTACAGAGAAAATTTTATCATAAAGAAATAATATCCATAAGGCAGAAACAGAACAAAAGTGTTAAAGTATATAATGGTACATTCAGGAATCATCATAATCAATGTCTAATTGTCATGATAACCTGTAAAATATTTCTCCCACTTTCTTAGCATGCTTTCGTGGTGTAATGGTCTGCACACTTGGCACACATTCGAGAGGCCCGAGTCCCGGCAAGGGCATTGCTCATTTTTCATGTCTGTTTCTTCCAAAATATCGTAATGTCTCTACAGTAAAATATTTCTTTAAAGCAAAGCGGATATGTACAAATGTGTTTGTTTGTGGAGATCTATGAATTAATTAATGTCTTAAAATCGTTATTTCATTCAGAATGCTTCACTTCATATGAAATGTGAAAAAAAATAATTTTTAGCTTTATGTTGACAGTTCATAACATTAACTAATAATTTTAATTGTGTTGATTTTTGAAATTTTACATGCCCATGCTTCTTATATATATGAAAGTATCATGAATTTTTTTTCTGTTTTGTATCATTAAAACTTTGCTCATGTTTTTGTTTCTGTGTAATTACCTTTATTTTATATGTTTATATTTTAGAAAACATTTAAAAAGAGAGACTGGCCTTCTGTTTCTGCAAATCTTGCAGATCAAATGGAAAAAAGTGATGGCTTTGAGAAGTCTCTGCCTCTTGGTGAGGCATCAACAAGCCATTCGACTAACAAAGCTGTTGAGGAAAAGTGTTCACATGATGAGCTACATAATATTTTTCGTAAGAAAAGCTTCAAACTTGCTGAAAATGAAGGTGATGGTTTTCCTGTGTCATCTAATCATTCATATATATGTATATCCTAATGAAATTTTATGTTAAGAGTTATGCTCGATTAAATGTATTACATTTACACAACTGTCTTCCTCTTATTTGGTCTTGCATTAAGTGACCTTTCTTTGCCTATGAAAGTAATTTCTTTCCCAATAGAGTAGTTTCTTCTTCTTTGCTAGGTTAGCTGGTATTTTCTAATTATCTGCATCCTCACAAAAGTCACCAGTGAATCCTCAGAACTTTGTTAATTGGCCAAAACATTTGTTATCTTTATACTTCATAAGTACTGTTCGATTCAAAATAATTTACAAGTGACAAGAAATGACAGAGAACAAAAATCTTTGCAGCTTATGGATGCTGTTCAGTGAAGTGACGAGCTGAGTAGAAAGCATGTGAATCCACTTGTGCTCAAATATGTGTTATTGCCACTTGCTTGAGTTGGCTATTTTCATGCACATACCAAAAATGCACCACAAATATGACAGTTCTAACAAATGCTGAAACTAGGTGAGGAAGATCATGGAGTACCAAAATATTTTGACTATACCAAAATAAATATATTTAATAAAAATACATATACAACATATATATATATATACATACTTTCCTTAGTTTGACCCATAAATGCTGTTTTATATGTTCTTCTGGACTGTCTAGCCTGAGATTCTTTCCTATAGAGGCTTTTTATCTGAAGCTACTGTATTTATATTTTCCTTGCAAGGGCATTTAATGGTCTTCTGCACTGCTTTTGAGATATTCAGAATCCTGTTTTGAGCATTATATTTTGCATATTTTTGAAAATGCATTACCACCAAATATTGCAGTTGCTCTTATGTGTTTCAGGTTTTTCCATTAATATGAAAAATTGAAAATTTTCAGGCTAATAGTGACTACCATGCATTGATATGCTTATAAAAATTATAAATTTCTCTCCATGACTGAACGTTTTTGATAAAAGCTATTTCTATGTTACGATGTTAGGGTGAAACCGCTTTGAATTGATAAAATTATTTATCTTATGACTAAGTTCATTATCTTCCATTTAGCAAACAATGTTGCCTTTAATTTTTCTTACAGCTGCATTGTGCTTCATTTTAAAAGTTAAGGAACAAACCATATTTAGGTAATGACTCTTAAATTATATGTTGAACTTAGAGCTACATGTAAAAGTATGATTTTTTTTTCAAAATGGTAGTTTTTAATAGAATACATTCATGATGAGACTTATAAATGCTATTAATAATACATTTACTGTATGTAACAATTTCCTGGTTTAGTCATTTATCCATCAACCTGAAAAAGAATAGATCAAGGTTCATCTGTATATTTTATACAGTATTTTATACAGTATGTGTATTTGATCTTTATTTTAACTACTGTAGTGTGCACTTTTGCTATGAAATTTTTGTATCATTACTGCAACACATTTTTTTTTTCATATTCTTAGGATATTTTCTCTCTTTTGTATAACTATTAACATTTAGAACTCCATGAATTTCATGCTGTAGTAAGATACGATCAATATGCTAGTGAATTTTTGATCCAAATATCAGTATTTTGTTAGATTTTTGTTTTCCACAGTCATTGAAACAATCATGCAGCCAGCCATTTGGGGTATTAATACATAAAGGCCCCACCAGTGGCTAAGTTGTTAAGGCCACTGAATGCTGGCAGTTCGATCCCAGGCAAACAGGCTCACTGCATGGTGAGTTTCCAAGGTTTTTTCCCCATGTCTTTTGTGAATGCCAGTTTTCCTAAGAAAGTCCTCTATAAAGGGCATTCCTTACCCTAGGCAGATAGCCCTTGTGTGATTTGCCATGTTCAAATACCTTAACTTGTTAATACATAAAGAAGAGTGAATACTTATTCAAATTTTTCTTTTAACAAACATTTTATTCTATTTTGTTTTGTTGTATGAAAAATTGTAATGCTCACAATATTTTTTTGCAGGGCAGGAATCTGTTATATCTGATACTACTGATGGTAACATATCACAGCTTCCAGAAAGTAAAGCATGCGACTCTGATGCTGTGTGCAAAGAGAAGAGCATGTCTAGTATTATTAATGTTAACAAGTCATAACTACTACGAATGTGGTTTGTCATTTTGATATTGTTAAATGAATAGGAAAATTGTATCTTAATAACAGTAATATGCTTAAATATTTAGAAAATATTCCTTGTTGTCTAAGTTTTTTATCCAAAATATTTAAAACTTTGCTTTAAACTGTGAGTTCACTAAATGAAATGGTAAATACTTTTGCATGAATTGTATTTGGAACTTTTTACACTATCAATACATTATTTTTATAGTTGTAACTGCCAAAAAGTTATTCACTTATTTTAGTTATGCAAGCTTTCTTTGTGGCTAAAATGCTGCAGATTTTTTCAAAAGCTCATTGATAAGTTCTTATTGAAAGAACCTCTGCAATATTAAAAGTTCTTGTTTTATATCGCCATAAAAATCTAAATGTATAATTCATTATTAATGTTAGTTTCCTTGTCTATATATAATGTTAATTGTTTTATTAAAATTTTATAAGTTTATTGGATGTTTAGTGCATATTTGTGAAATATGAAATGGGGAAGTATTAGAAGCTTTTTGTAGAATTATTTTTCAGGTTTTAGTTGCAATGTTTGTTTTAACAGTATTAAACTATAAGAATGTCTAGGTCTGTGTCTATTTCAGGCTCTCTGTTTGTAATATGAGAATAATTTGCACCAAATACTAATATATATATATATATATATATATAAAGATTTTATATCTTGTCCTGTTTTTTATGTCATCAAATGTACATTTTAAATTTTATATGTGATACTTATTTTTGAGTAATTTAAAGCATATATTAAGATGCAAAGATGAGCTTATTTCATTTGACTTCGATATGCCTTTGAGATAAGAATTTAAGGTTTTTCTGTCAGATGTTTTCCAATGAATGAGAGTTTATAAATGTATTGTCAAGTTTTTTTTCTTACATCAAACTTTCTCAATGATATACATGAGTTAAGTGTCTTATATATTTCACGGTTTTTTACACTATCCATACCTTATTTTTATAGTTATAACCGCCAAAAAATTATTTACTTAGTTTCTTTATGCAAGCTTTTTGGCTAAAATGCTGCAGACGTTTTCAAAAGCTCATTAATAAGTTCTGAAGTTCTTATTGAAAGATCCTGCGCAATATTTGAAGTTCTTGTCTTATATTACCATGAATATCTAAATACATAATTCATTATTAATATTAGTTTCCTTGTGTGTGTGTGTGTGTATATATATATATATTATAAATTTATTTATTAAAATATCTTAGATTTATTGTGTTTGATGCATATTTATAAAATGTGAAATGGGAAAGGGTTAGAAGCCTTTTTTGGAATTATTTTGTAGCTTTTAGTTTCAATATCATTTATTTTAACAGTGCTAAATTACAAGATTATGTCTCTGTGTCTATTTCAGGCTGTCTGTTTGTATTATGGGAAAAATTTGCACCAAATATGTATTTATATATCTAGTCCTGTTTTTGATGTCATCAAATGTATATTTTAAATTTTATGTGATATTTATTTTTGAGTAATTTAAAGCATGTATTATGATGCAAAGTACTGAGCTTATTTCATTTGACTTTAGTATGCCTTTGAAACAAGAATTTAAAAATGATGTTTTTCAACATATAAATAAGAGTTTATAATTGTGTTATCAAATTTGTTTTTTTTATACATCAAACTTTTTTAATGACATACATGAGCTAAGTGTCTTATATACTTCAAGATCCATGTATTTTGTCATATTATTCTTACAAAAAATAGTTTCTATATAATAACCTTTCAGTTAGAATATATATAAAAGAAAATTTTTAGTCAGTCAGTGTACTTGTCACATATAATTTTTTTGCATGACAAATGAGTTTTTGTTTTCTATTTGAATTTTTTAATACTATAAAGGAAATAAAAGAAATTACTGTGTTATTTGATGACTTTTAGACTGTTGTTACTGCTTGTCTTCTTGTACAGGCATATAGTCACTGGAAAAACTACATGAATAGTTATAAATAGATGCAAGGTGTATGTCTGCCATAGATTACCATAAATTGTTGCTGGACGCGGGAGTTACGTTATTAAGGACTGCGTGTATGGCAAAATTGTGCTCTGTTAACTTTTTATGGGAAAATGTATTAGCTGTAATTAAGATTTAAAAAATATTTGTAATTTAAACAAACCTAAATATTGTTGCAATTAAAAGGGAAAAAACAAAGTAAATGTTAATTGAAAGAATTCTTATTACTGCATAATAATTTTTAAGTTTTGTTCAGGAACATGACTGAACTTTAAAAGTTTCACGATTAGGAATGCAGAGTTTTTAAATGTATTTTAAAAAGTATCCTCTTTTTTAATTTGGGTCAGTCTCCATTGCCAAATCAGACAGTTCTTGTGCATTTTAACTGTTCCCTTAACTTCTAACTTGAATGTGCTTTATCTTCATTATCATTACTTTCACTGTTGCTGGTGTCGTAAGATTATCTAATTTTTCATTCATGATTTCTTTGTAAATTTTTTGACATCTCTTTCCGTAGCTAAAAATCCTTCACTTCCAATTGCATTTGTACAAGATAACCAAAAAGGTTCTTGTCGTTTCTGATATGACATTGGAAAAGTGAACCACAACATAAAAATAGTTGTCAAACCTGGTGATGAAGGGGTTAGTATGGGAGTCTGAGCATTGACCAAGAGTATAAAAGCACATTGCATCGGTACTTCAAACTCATAAGTACATAAACATTTACTTTGTCCACTTTTGTGTTATGCAAGTCCAGTTTAAGCATCTGCTAGAGAAAGGCTGCAAGTCTGCCAAGACTGTGTTCTCCAACAAATAATGCAGAATGGTACATTCATAGTAACAGGATTCACGAAGAACTTGGTGTTGAGGTACTGCGCACTCAACTATAAATTAACTAGAAAATTCCACGAAAGACAGCAACAAATAGACAATCCCAGCTTTAAAATTTGTGATGATTATAATAGCTTAAGTAATATTGACGGGCCCATGGCCCAATTAAATGTCTGGATAATGTAAATTATGATTGTAATAACATGTCATAGATATTAATTTATTATTATTTCTTATTTGTCTTTGTATATATTTTGTTTTGCTTTCTCTCATATGTGTGTATATTTTTTCTTATGTAATTTACAAATGTATTTGTACTATTAATGAATTCGAATTGCCGTATTCTTGGTCACCAGTTCATCGGCTCCTTGGCTCACGTTTAACTAGACCAGCCTTACAGCATATTAATTAACTTATTATTCTCAAATCTTTATTATTACTTAAAACTTCTATTAATACTTAAATCAAAAATTAAAAAAGAGGAGCTCGAACTTATCTTAAGGTTACGGTATATACTTTTTGCAACTATCAAATTTATTCTGCAAGGGGTACGCCCATTCATCGCCCCCTACTACAAAGAAATCAGGCCAGCCAATGAGTGGGCAGATAGCCTCCTATGGTCATTGGATTTAATTAACTTTTTTTCCTTCTAATTTATGTACCGCAACGATTTTAAAGTGGGCCTGTCAGCAGCAGAATTAGGGCAGGGAATTTATCAGGGTTTTGGGGATGATACCGTTAACGAACAAACCGCTAGGCAATGGTTCCAGGAGTTCAGGTCATTGAATATCTCTTTTAGTGATGCAGCACACAGCGGTCGGCCACAAGCGGTGGACGATTAGGCCCTGAGAGCAGCCATAGAGAGTGACAGTAGCCAGACATGCAGTGAGCTTGCTGCACACTTTCAGGTATCTGATGAAACGATCAGATTCCATTTACACCACATAGGAAAGGCATACAAGCTGAGCAAGGGGGTACCTCACTCACTGTCTGATGCAAACAAACAACAGTGTGTCACTAGCTGTTTGTCATTGCTTACTCGGTGTCGCAGTGCATCCGTATTTGATCGAGTACACACCAGTGGTGAAAAGTGGATCCAGTATGACACACCCAGGCGTTCCGTGCATTGGTAGTCACCACAGGACCGTGTGCCTCACACTGCGCATCCTTCTCTTCACCCACGCAGGATCATGCTCTGTATCTGGTGGGCTAGTCGCCAAATGGTGCACTATGAGATCCTGCCAGTGGACCAAACCATCACAGCAGGCTTGTACTTGAAGCAGTTGGAACGTGTGCATCAGGCACTGATTGATGCATAAAGAGTCAGCATTGGTCAATCGTAATGGTGTATTCCTCCTCCATGACAATGCACCATCCAGCGACTGGGCTGGGAGACGCTACTCCATCCACCATACTCCCCAGTTCTCGCGCCAACAGACTACCACCTTTTCCATTCCTTGGACAACCATCTTTGTGGGAAATCCTTCAACAACCGGCCAGACCGCGAAAACCCCCTCACGGATTTCTTTGCGTCCAATACTCCTGAGTTTTACCGCGATGGCATCACACAGCTAGTCACTCGTTGGCAAAAGGCACTGTATGCCGATGATGATTGCTTTGAGGATTAGCGGTGAATATTATTTCTTTTATGATTTTTTTTTCTTTCTGACTGCCCAAAACAGCAAGAACGTTTTTGGTTACCTTGTAATTTGTACGATTTCTTTAGCTTCATTTTTGAGTCTATGGAAGGCCTTTAAAACTGTTTAACTGCTGGCCAGAGTTATGCCAGCAAGTGTTCTTTGTTGATGAATGAATGTTGAACCGTGTATGAATGAAGTTCTAGAGTTGGAAAAATTAAATGAAAAGAATAAAGATAACTCGAATATGTGAAATCCAATTCAAATCCGCGCGTGGAAAGGATTGTATAAGTTTTTGGCCATCTGGGGATAAGAACGACTTTGCTAGTTCCAAGGCTTTTGATCGAGAATCTCTAGGTGAATGACAGCCAGTCCTTTCATAGGGAGATAATTTCCCCTTGAAAACCCTCCACGAACGGAAGTTGCACCCCATGAAAGACGTAATGCGCGTTGCCATAATCAGATAATTTAATCCAATTCTCAGGAATGAAATCCGAGATCTTTACATTTCCGCAGCGAAAGATTTGTGTAGCAAAGTGTCATTTGTATAAAGTGTTTGTCGCTGACATTCGAGGAATCATTATTAGACAGATAGAAATTTTTGCCATTTTATTCCTTAAATAAATATTTATACTTAATGACTTTAGTTCTCCGTATTAATGTTTAGCATCATTAAGTATTACGAGAAATTAATAATGCGTTAAGTATATCTGTGAAAAGGTTTTGAAATTTCCCAATTAAACTGGCTCACGAGAAGTGAACTCAATAAATATTGGTACTGGTAGATCCGACCCATGTTCAAATCCCGACGAACTGGGCTGCATGCATGGTCATTTTCGTGGTTTTCCCCATATGTAGCACAGATACGAGCCAGTTTCCCTTAGAAAATCCTCCCCGAAGGCAGCCTTTCCGATAGCCAGATAGATAGCCCTGGAAATGCTTTACCTTAATCCATTAACCGTTCCCTATTTAACTAACATTACTGAATGTAGTGTCTCAAAAGTTGTTACTCTCTTTAAAAGTAATAACTGTACTTGAGATTCTCATGTAGATGAGGACCTAGAACATGCAAAATTGTTTAATTACATATTTACACAGTTTTACAGTTGTGTAGCTTAGCACGCATGTGCAATGATGATTTAAGATTGTCTAGAATTAAATGAATAAATTTTTCTTTTATTATGTATTTTTATTGTATGTCGGATAATTACTATACAGAGGTGCAGGTTAGAACAGTTGTTCACATTGTGAATTTGCTTTATGTTCGGTTAAATTCCTATACGAGGAGTCAAGAATGAGTTTTCTTTTTTAATAATATTGATGCTTATAGTTTTATACCTTAAGTCTGAAGGTTTCTATAATAATGTAACTGTATAACCTTATAATGGTGTTTTAGTCGTTGAAAAATAAACATTGTTGTTCTAATAATTATGTATTTTACTGACAGTTAAGTAACTTAAATTTAGAAGCACTGCCGGTTCGTCCCGAGTTCGATTCTTGGTGGTTGAAGAAGCTGTAACGTAAGATCGAGGCAGTTGCCGATGGGAAGTCTTCCGAAGTTAATATTCCCTTTAGATAGTAGGCTTCGCTTGCTTTTATGGTAAATGCCTAATATATTCGGCAATTGTATCATACCTGTTGATATTTCAAGCAGTGATCGGTATTTAAAACAGATGTGCGTTTTGTGCACGGATCCTAAGGTGGTCGGCTTTTGGTCTGCTTATTTATCGCTTCAAAATAATCGTCTCGGACAGTATGGTAGTTAGTATAGGTTGACTAACTGCCTCACTGTTTGGTCAACAGCGTCTGTAGCAAAGTCCGAAGACGAGTATCTAATTGGTCACTGTTTTAAATTAGTTTATGTGATTATGGCAAAGCCTCGAGAGCTATTTGCCTAAGAGGGAGATGCTTTCGTGGAGGACTTTCTAAGGAAAATTGGCTCTTATACCCGTTACACATGGGGAAAACCATGAAAACGCCCATGCAAACCTCGGACCTAACTACCACTGTTCAGCGACTTCACCGCTCGGCCGCTGGTACGTCTGGTCCCTGTTAGAAGACATACGCTTAAAGCAGCGGAAAGTGTCTTCGCCGGCTCAAATCAGTGCTGTGGCAGTGAAGCTGTAGTTGTGTTTCTGTACTACGTTCTCGTTTTTTGTGAATTCATTTTCTGCCTCTTGTTCAGAGCTTAATTTTTGAATTAAAAGTGCAGGAGCCTTAATCAAGGAATGATAAACGGAAATGCACAGCTAAAATAACAGCGTCTCGCGTAATCAAAATTAAGTAAGGTAAGTAATTAATTAGTGATAAATGTGTATAAAATTTAATTAATTGATAAATTTATTCTAAAATTTAATGTAGCATTACAATAAATGGGAAGTGACAAAATCGGTGAAATTAAGAGATGTTTCCAAAAGGAATGAAAAAAATAATAAATGCTTTGACCATCATTTCTTTTCGTTTGTGAAATATATTTTTTCACTTAAATACTTCAGGTAAATTAATTAAAGTATAACAGATAATATAAAATCTATAAGAGAAAGAATTTTACCACGGAAACAATATTTGTGAAAAATAATGAGGTTATTATTAAACCTTATTCGGCTGCGAAATAAAGAAATACCGAAACTTTTTCTGCAAAAGATTTGCATGTGCTCTATCTGTCATATAGTTGCATAACGGACTCGTAAATGCAAATGAAACAAAATTTTATGTCGGCTGTATGTGTACGACATAAAATGTCTTAATAAGTGCATGAAGATTGCATAAGCATCTTCCTTTTAGAAGTATGTATAAACACACTGCTCAAAACAGTTAGAGGATATTACGAATTCGGTATGAAATAAACGTATAATAGAAAAATTTTCTAACAAAACTGAAAGAAAAGAGGTTAGAAAGGAAAATTATGATGCTTGCAAAAATGAGAATGCGATTTTTTTTTCCTCTGATGTCGAAAACTTTCGTTTTAGATAAGGAGTGAAAGCAACCTGCAGGATTGACAAGCGTTGAATGTTGTGTAACGGTGAATATGATGTCTCAGCAAGATGACTTAGCTGAATCGGTAGCCTGGAGGGCCATCGGTCATTTAGAGGCAGGTCAAATGCAGTCCGTTTTAGCGGAAGCGTTAGAAGTTTCTTAAAAGGCCATTTCCAGACTATGAAATCGTTTTTGGAAACTGGAAATGTTCACCGAAGATCGTGAAATGCCGTATTCCTGCAGCAACACAAAATGATCAGTATTTAAAACTAATGGCCAGAAGAAACCGCACTATGAATGCCACTTTCTTGCAACAGCACCTTTAGAGAGCTACTGGTACCAGAGTTTCGACTGAAGCTGTTCGAAGACTTATGGCTTGTTTCTGACACAGTACTACCGTGCCGCCCGCAGAAGGTGGGCGCAGGGAGCATTTCAGATGGGAACGAAATGGAGTGGAGCAATATGCTCTTCACGAAGAGTCTCCCAATGTACTACCTGATAATAGGGGGTGGAATCTCATTTAGACCTTAGAACGCGGAATACTACTGCATTTGTTTGTGAAAGTGCC